ACATACAAGAGGAAGTGAGGGGAAGGGGAAAAATAATACAAGGGGGACAAACGAATGTCAGTAGAGGGGGCAGAGAGAGAAGAGGGGAGGGGAGGGGAGGGGAGGGGGGATAGTAGAGGATAGGAAAGACAGCAGAATACAACAGACACTAGTATGGCAATATGTAAATCAATGGATGTGTAACTGATGTGATTCTGCAATCTGTATATGGGGTAAAAATGGGAGCTCATAACCCACTTGAATCAAATTGTGAAATATGATATATCAAGTACTATGTAATGTTTTGAACAGCCAACAATAAAAAATTAAAAAAAATAAAAAAATAAAATAAAATGTCCCACTTGATGGCTTAGCACTATAAAAAAAAAAAAAAAGTATATCGAGATTTTATATCACTCCAGTCAAATTGAAAACTATCAAGAATACAAGCAACAACAAATGTTGGCGAGGATGTTGGGGGAAAAGGAACACTTATACATTATTGGTGGGACTGAATATTAGTACAACACTCTGGAAAGCAGTAAAGATATTCCTCAAAAAAAAAAATAGGAATGTAACCACCATATGACTCAGCTTTGCCACTCCTTGGCATTTAGCCAAAAGAACTAAAATCAGCATACTAGAGTGATATAGTCATATCAATGTTATAGCAGTGCAACTGACAACAGTCAAGTTATGAGATCAACCCAAGTGCCCATCAAAAAAAGAATAAAAAAAATATGGTATATATGCATGATTTACTCAGCTATAAAGAAGAATGACTTATGGCATTTGCTGGTAAATGGCTAGAATTGGAAAACACCATGTTAAGAGAAATAAGCCACATACAGAAAGAAAAGGGTTGAATGTTTTCTTTTATATATAGAATCTAGACAAACCAAGGGGGGAAAAGTGGCTGGTAGGGGAATCCCTATGAAAATAGAAGGGAGATCAGAGAAGCAGAGGGTTGATAGGGAGGGAGGAAGGAAAGAAAAAGAGAGGAATGGTGGAATGAAATTAACCAAATTATGCTAAATACAAATATAAATATACAGCAGGGAATTTCACCTTTATGTATATCTATAAAGCACTAATTGAAAAAAATCTATAAATAAATAGAGGACCAGTAGAGTAGAGGAAGGGAAACACGGGAGGATGTAGGGAAATACGGGGAACTGAACTGGAACAAATTATATTCCATGCTTATATCATTATCTCAAAATGAAGCACAATATTATGTATAACTACAATTCACTAATAAAAATAAATAAAAAACTTTAAGAAAAAATAGGTGTTGAATTTTATCAAATACTCTATTGAGATTATTCTGTTTTAATTTGTTAATGTGTCTAGTTTCATATATGGGTTTTCTAATATGAAACTATGCTAGCATACTCACAATATATCCAATGTAGACATGGTTATATTATGATCTCCTTTAAGCACAATTAAATTTTATTTGTCACTATTTTGTTGGGATTTTTTACATGTATATTCTTAAATGAAATTTAATGTAATTTCTTTCCCTATAATATTTTTGGTATTCAGGTCATGCTGATCTTAAACAATGAATAAAAGAGAATTCCTATCAGTTTGGTCCTAATGAAGAAACAGAATTATGAACAGCCTCTAGAAACCTAAACTACATGTAAGGTGAAGAACTTCAGACTGGCTACAATGTCCAGATTACCCTAGTCCTCATATTTAAAAATAGAGATCTTTATGTCTCATACAGATTTTGGACTATTAGCTAGTAATCCCAAATCATTCTGACAAAGATGATCTACTGGCGTGCTTTGAAAAATACCACCATGGCAGGGAGACCACCTGGCTTCCATCTACATTTACAGAAATCCAGAGGAAGAGCTGCAACTGACTCCATAGCATAGGAATCTGCACTTTCCCATGGGAACACATTCCAGATCTCTCAATGGATGCCTGAAATCTCTGATAGCACCAAACTCTATAATTCAATGCCTTTTCCATCCCAACTAAGCACTTCATAAGCAACATGGCCGTAATTTTTGCTGTTTGAGGTGAGAACACAAAGTTTGCACTAATCTTTCTTCACAATTTTGTAGCTTAAAGATTTGTTCTTGATGTATATCTTGGTGATCTCAGCATCAAATTATTTTCCTTTCTTTATTAAGTCAAAGTTTCACTTTTTCACTCAAAAGAATCACTTTATGGCTTTTGAATTGGCATATCTGAATTGCCAGCATTACTTTCCTTGTGCTTCGGGGTTGTTATTAAATAAAACGGGTTGCAGGAACACAAGCTTTGTGATACCACAACTGGTGTTCAGGTAATAGATTCAGCCACTAAGTGAATGGTGAGAGGTAGCGTACACAGCATAGGTGCACTAGACGAAGGAATTATTCATCCTCTGGTTGGAACAGAATAGGACAGTGCAATATTTCATCATACTAATCAGAATAGTGTGCAATCTAAAACTTATGAGTTCTTTATTTCAGCAATTTTCCAATTAACATTTTAAGACTTTGGTTGACTGCAGGTAACTGAATCTGCAGAAAACAAAACCAGAGACGGGAAATTTATTGAACTATATGATAAAGCTACTACACAGAGTTGAGGAGGCTAAATGCCCTTCCTTTCTCATAGTTTCTCTTAGCAGGATGCTCCTGGGTTGCCCAGGGCAGTCCTGACGTATGTCTATTATTCCAATGTAATGAGTAATAGCTCCCCTGTTCGTTTTTTCAAAAGCCCCCCTTTGGACATCTGTAGTCCTCCTTTGGGATCCTCCATGTTATAGTCTTTCCATTTTTACGGTCGGATAGGCCTGAGTCTGCTTCACAAGCTTGTAGGACCTCTTCTCCCCCATTTTAATCCCCTCCCCCAGATCTAAAGGCTAAGTGAAAGCCAGAGTTTCAGAAGGCATGGGATAGGAAAATATACTTAAGTCAAGACTAAATATCTACACATTTCATTCTATTCAGTGTACACAATACAGAATCTATGCAAATCAAAACTACACTGAGATTCCATCTCACTCCAGCCAGAATGGCAACTATCAAGAATAAAAGCTACAACAAATGTTGGCAAGGATGTGGGGTAAAAGGTATACTCATACATTGCTGGTGGGACTGCAAATTGGTGAAACCACTATGGAAAGCAGTACAACCTGGTATGGAAACACCATTTGACCCAGTTATCCCATTCCTTGGTTTATACCCAAAGGACTTAAAATCAGCATACTACAGTGACACAGCCACATCAATGTTTATAGCAGCTCAATTCACAATAGTAAACTAAGGTGCCCTTCAACAGATGAATGGATAAAGAACCTGTAGTATATATACACAATGGAAACTTACTCAACCTTAAAGAAGGATGAAATTATGGCATTTTCAGGTAAATGGATGGAACTGGAGAACATCATGCTAAGCAAAATAAGCTAATCCCAAAGAACCAAAGGGCTGAATGTTTTCTCTGATATTTGGATGCTAATTCACAATAAAGGTGGGGGGTGCTAGGGAAGAACAGAGGTACTTTTTCTTAGAGCGGAGTGAAGGGAGGGGAGGGGTTTTGGGAGGAGTGAAGATAGTTGAATGAATCAGACATTATTGCCCTAAGTGCATATATGATTACACAATCTTTATAACACCATGTACGACCAAAAGAATGAGAAGTTATACTCCATTTGTGCATGATGTGTCAAAGTACATTCTACTGTCATGTATAACTAATTAGAACAAATAAAAAAAATTTAAAAAAGATACAGAATCTACATAGAAACTTAATATCACAAAAATGTATTTTGCCTGTAAAGTCCATTGTGGCCATGGTGAACTGTAGGAATTCTGAAGCTAAGACCATTGGGGGAAGGGGGTTTGAAGGGATCTTCCTATCACAATGCATATAAAATAATAAAAAATAGCAAAACTTAGATTTTACTCTTCTAATCTATGGAGGTGCAAGACAGGTCTCATGTTGTCACAAATGGAAATACACCAGTTGAGGAACAAAGGCAGCCTGAAAAGTACAGTAACATGAGATGTCTAAGTACTAATGCATTTTATTTTTACAATTCCTTTTTTTTTTTTTTTTAACTAAGCTCTCCACTTTCATTTCAATCAAAGTTCATTATAAACCTATTATTTTCAGAAGCTCCATTTATTTGGTAGAACTCAAAACTAAATAGTCCATCCTGTTTTCCAGAGAACAGTTTAAAATAGGCATTCAACAAATATTATTTTGAAGAATTATATGGAAAATAAAAACAAGAAGGAAGATACCTTGGCAGTATTTTATGCAAGAAAATGTAAAATTTCATTCCTACATCAAATAATAAATTTTTGGAATAAAATTGAACATTAGAGGTATCAATCTGAAAAATGATGAATATTTCCTATTTCTGTTTTCTAAGTTTGAAAATCCTCTTTTCCATTCCAATACTACTATAATTTTCAACTATTTTTGTGCAATTCCTTTCTTTTTCTTTCTTTATAATTTCATCATACATTTTTATCATCTCCATCAATAACTACAGTAGCCACTTGTTAACCTAGTTGGTCTTGATTGTTAAAATATTCCCTTATTCAAATATCTATTTTACCTAAAATACAGATCAAATGTCTGCAAACCAAGTGTCCAAGATCTTCTGTATCCATCCTCCTTTTTGGCTTCATTCTTTATTGAGCCTATTACATGAACACTAATCTGGAAGTGATATACACAACGTCCTCTCAAAGGCCTTAATACAAAGCCTGGAATACATGTCAAAAATGTTTGTACATTAATATTTAAATGGATTTATGGTTTTTCTGATACCTAGATGTAAGGACAGAGGTTCACAGTGTTCACAAAAAATGTACTTTCTATTTCCTTTATAATAGCAAGATAGTGTTTTTAAAAAATTCATTAATTCACCCATGACAAAATAAGTCAATTCAGAACAATTAAAGCAGTTCTTTCCTTTTGCAAAAATGGTAGCAACTGGTGGGTTATATCTAACAGGGTTATTAGTTATTCTTAACATTACCAAAACTTTTATTACTAACCTGTTGAGGAGTAATGGTATCTCTATAACTTGGTAAAATTTTTAGGGTGACACTTCCACTAATATTTTTCAGTAATTCCTGTAATTCCTTTGGGTTGTTTCCAACCTCATGGCCATTGACTTCTTTGATGATATCTCCCACATGAAGCAGACCTTGTCGATCTATCATTCCTCCATGAAGGATTCGGGCAATTACCAGATCATTATTTTCAACCCTGAACGTTACACCCTAGAAGAAACAAGAAATAGAATAACTATTTATTTTATTTTATTAATAAGAAATAGGTAAATATTCATGAATATAAGAAATAATTCCAAAGCTATATAAGTTGTTCTTACTTTTCCCATGATCAATCCTGTCTTAATATTTTAATCCCATTCAGCTAGATGCAATTGTAAGAATATACAGCACCCATCAAAAAGAACTTTCTTGGTAAGGTTAACCCTAAAAATGAAACAAATACTAGTATCTAGGCTGTATTCCACAGGATAAAAGGAAGGTCAAGGAAATATGAAAGGGTATTTGTGCATTCTCATTCTTGGCTTTTCCTTTTCTTCATTCCACTATTCTTAGGATCCACAAGAGCAGAAACAGTGAACTTCACTACTTACAGGTATTTGAAAAATGGCTTCAATTTTTAATAACCAACCTTATGCCATGTTTTAATACTATCATTAGTAAGCAACCTGAGTTCATTATTTTTTTAAAGGCAGAAAGAATTGAAGTAGTTCTCTTTTGAATTCTTTGATACCTACTGGCATACTTCTAACATCTAATTCTAAGTTAAACTTTTCTTTTTAGTTTTATATGCTCGATCAATTTGAGAGACTGTCAGCTGTGTGTTTATATGTGGGTAAAAAAGACTAATAAAAAGTTTTCAGATTATGTTAAGAAAAAGAAAAAAAAAACAGATAAAAGTAGTGACTGAGTCACAATTTATTTACATTTCAGATTTAAGAAGGCACTGATTTATCTACTTACCAATGGCTCTCCAGCTCTTTTGTGAATTCCAAGAATACGAATGGCATCTACTGGTAATAACTGATTATTGAGAGAAGAATTATTCATTTCTGGGCTTGATGGAGGTGAATCATAACACTTTGATGCCACAATATCATGGGCTTCCAAGAGCGACTGTAAGAAGTGAACACAGCCTGTGGTTATTAGCTACTGATGGAATAAGTTACTAAAAATAATTTGTTAGTTCATTATCCCAGTGGTGTACTAAAAATTTCCCAGGCGTACATTATTAAATTCCCAAACATGAATTGAATTAAATATATATAGAATATTTTTAAAGAAATATAAAAATAGCTTTAAATATATAAAATAGAATTATATAAAATAGCTTTAAATATTTTCATCATCAAATAGTATTATATTCTTGTCTTAGTTTTGAAGAGATTGAAAGAATTCAGTCACATGTTTTTAAAATGACATGCTCACTGGAAACCAAACCTAGGTCATCAAAATAATTTAGTATTTATCATTAATTCTTATTTTATTAGGTATTATAAAAACCCAAATGACAAGGACCCTAATAATTACACTTATGTTGCTAAGTTAATAACTTGATATATTTTCTATACCTATGGAATGTATTAAAAAAGATGTGAATTAGAAAATAGATAAATATCTGCACCTTATATCAGAGATAGAAAATTTTGCTATTAATAAAGGTTTAATCTATAAAAGACATTTTTGAGGGAAAAATGAGTTAGTAAAGATTCTCCATATACTGCATTTTAAAATTATATTCCCTCTCTGTGTTATTATCATGGATGATTTTGATCTAGCATTCTAGGAATTTCTTATATATTTATATATTTAAAATGTTTGTCAATCCTTATCCTAAAGGAGTAAGTTTTACTACAGTTGCACATATTCATCATAATGCTAAATTTAAAAAAAATTTTGAGTGAACAGACAACAAATTCAAACAAATCAAAATAGAAGAGGGGAACAAATAACACCAAGTTCACAAAAAAAAAACCAATCTGAATATTGGCTTAATCAGTAATTTCTAGTCATTTCATGAAATCACTTGTAAGAAACTGGAGAAAAAAAATTCAAAAGGAACTCCCAAATGCATATGTTAAGAATTCTTCCTATAAATGCTGGAAGTTATTCAAAACTCTAGGCTGGGCTGCTTGGTTGTCCACCCTGTATTCTCAGGCAGTATATTTCATTTCTGTTACTTGAACCACTTCTTACACACTCCTAATTCCCTATATTCTAGTTCAGAACTCTCATATGCTTCAGATTAATGTACTAAAAATCTGTCCACATGGCTAAAGTCATGACAATTTGAAAATCAAAGAGTAATTATACTTGAAACACTGAATAAGTACACAATGTTATTTAAAACACAAAAAAGACTAAAAAACTAAGTTGTTATCATATGAAACTAAGTTGTTATCATAAGAAAATGCTATTTTAAACAAGTCTTTGCTTTGAAAATAGGTAAAGAGAAGGATCTAGCATTTCTCTGCTTTTCCAGGAGGAAATCCATTATAGGGTAACAGCCCCTCTGATGAGAAGCTCTACATTTATCAAAGAACACAGCTAATAAAAATAGAACAAGAATTTGAAAAAAAAAAAAAAAGTCATATTGTAACCACTAATGAAAATATTGATCTAGGCAAGAATTATTAATTTATGTTCTCTAGAAGGTAAATGGTTGATAGGAACTAGCATTTATATAACGTCAGAATAATAACAGACTAGATTACTTCATGGGGAGATTTTGTAGAAAACAATAGACTGTCATCTTTACTCAGGAACCAAATCAACAATGTGGGGGGAGGCGGCAATCAGGTATTCTACTTCTTCTGACAGTCTAATTCATGTTGCAAATCACTTAAGATGAACTGTAGTTCTAAATCATGGATTTGAATCAGAAACCTTTTAGCTAGAACTTCTGGTAATAGGAAATAGAACTGATAACTGAATAACCCAGCAGGGCAGCAGCCAGACAAATCCTGGAAGTGCCACACTCTACATGACAGTGGCTTGGACTCTTCAGTAGGTCAACATCATAAGAGGGAAAGGGGTTGACAGACAGAAGTCACACACAGATTTAGGTTGGAAACTCATATGTACAATACCCTTCTCTCCACTAGGATTCTGACTGTCTCCAGGATAAAACCTAAATACCTTAGCATTCCTTATAAGGACACAATCAACTAGTCCCTGCATAAAATGTGTGCCTGATGTGTCTCTGCGGCTTTTGTACCAAAGATGCTGATTGATGTAGGAACCATCCCACTGTTATCTTCATATTTATTGTAGAGTCACATAAAGACGTTGAGAAAAAGCAAAGGGGTGTTACTATTTGATTTTGCAATGGAAAACGTGAAATTTGCAATGGAATTTGCAATAGAAAACGTGACATTCTTCCATCTTAGTACTACCCCTTCTCCATGAAAAAGTAATGTCTGTCATAAAACATGTTACCATATATGACTGAATGTATTTCTGGGGTTTTCATTCTCTTCAATTCATTTATTTTCCTAACACTCCCCAATATCACACTATCCTGATTAATTCAGGTTTTTTAAAAGAAATCTTTTTGTCATTTGATGAAGGAGATTCTTCTTGGTGAAAATGATTAACTCATTTACTGACCAAACTTTAAACTGTACTTATTTCTCTGTGGAATAAATATGTTTGGTAATAGTTTCTACCCTTAGCTCTCCTTTGTTTCATATCATCAACTGTACCCCAGTCTTGAGAAGCAATACTAAAAAATGTTCATCATTGACCCCAAAGAGTAATGGGAAACAAAGGGGCAGTAAAGAAGAAAAAAATTACATTCTCATGGTGAGGAAAATTTTGCTAGCATGATACCTGATGTTAGAAAAGGGATGTTGTTTTCTTTAACTGCACAAAGGAAAATCCATGGTGATGTATTTCTGTAAATGTATACAGTATGTACAGTTATATCTGTGTATTTATGTATTTTCAGCATATCAGAATATTAAAATATCTAAATTGGAATTTATATACTTATAAAAAACAGCCTCAAGTAATTCTCCAAAGGAAAAAAAAATCACTTAAAACTGGAAATGAACTACTAAGGAACTTCAGGAACATTGGGGAGAAGAGCTGTAGGGAAAGGTTACCTGGAAGTGAGGCTCTTTGAGTATACCAACCAGTTCTGCCACATTTTCATCCACATTTATTAGGGGAGTGATATCTTCAAGAATTTCATTAACTAATTCCAAGTTATTATCACTGACAGCTTCTAGTTTTGAATCTTCAAGCCTCTCATGAGCCTGAGAAGACAACAGTTTATTAAGGTAATGGTACTTTTATTTCATTTGCTCCAGACCATAGTTTACTTCTTCATTTATTTATTTTTCATAGTTTTAAAAGATAATACTTGGAGGTTTGATTCACTGAAACCTATTTTAATATTTCTATCAGTAGAAATATTTGAATTTTAAAGTAAATATACCAGGCAGTATAATAAACGTTGGCCTCCATTCCTATCCTATAGGTCATAAAAAACTCATTTTTATGACTACCCCTGAAAAAACATGACTACTAAAAACCATGTTATGCTCCTACCCACTAACAGGATTTCCTTATGACATTCTAGTCAAGGCTCTAACTCTGAATGCTATTGTTTATTTCTTATTCAATGATTAAGCATACAAAAAGAATAAGAACGTAACCATCACATATGTTAACATTTCAAAAAATGATAAATATCATTCTGAAAATTCCAGAATCCTAAAGTTATTAATTTTCTATTTTGAAAATTCAGGCTGGGAATGTATCTCAGTAATGGAGTACCTGTCTTTAGCATGCACAAGACTCTGGGTTTGAGCCTCAGCAATGTCAAAAATAAATACATAGATTGATAGAAAGAAAGAAAACCAGTTCATTTAGAGAAAGAAAAAAGTCAATTTAGAGTAATTGGACTTTGAAAGACCTCATATTTAATTAGGAGAATGAACCTTCCTGTCTCTAATCTTAAGTTTTGTTTTTGTTAAAAAATATCACCATCTTATCCTCAGAAAATACACTCTGAACCATAATAGCATTATCCTTAGATAGCGGAAGTAAAGCAGTTTTAAATTCAAACTGAGAATGAACACAAAGCAGGCTGCACCTTTGCTGATAAATAGTCTTTGCTTTTCTGACAAATAGGTGCTTTCTGATGTTGAAGATGGAAAAGCATAATTATTAAGATTTAATTTTTAAGTAAAATCATGTAAGATGACAAATCTTACATTTTCCCATTCATCTCTATAAGTGCTGAGGAAAAATCCAAATTTCAAATGGTGACCGCATTAACTAAACTTTATTAGTTATTAGTTTCCTGTAATACTTCACATATTATTATATCTGCCACCACACAAAATGGTTCCTTTAGAGTTTAAAAACAATATTCTAATTTTTAAAGATGAACTTTTTGTTTAAACTTTTTCCTAGGTAATTCACATGAGTGAAGTAAGTATAAGTTATTATTATTTTTTAAGAGACAGGTATCTTGTTATGTTGCTCAGGCTGCCACCAAAATCCAGGGCTGAAGCAACACTTTATCTCAGCTTCCTGAGTAGTTGAGATTACAAGTGTGCACCATTACATATGGTGAAATGATTTCTTAATTAGAAGAAGGGATTATATACTAAGCAACATTTTAAGAAAGACCTCAGGAAAGGAAATTTTAAAAATCATATGAAATAGACTGATAAAGAAAAAAAACTGTTATTAAACAAAAGGAAAAATGTCAAAAGGCCAAATGTAATTTAAATGGAGGAAAAAGTTTCTATTAGATTTAGATAAGAAAAAATTAAAGACTAGAAAATCCCACAATGAGGATGGATATAATTTGTAATTTTGTGAAAAGTATAATACACACCAGATAAGAAAAGGATGATGAAGATACCCAACACATATTACAGAATGATTATCACCACTGCAAGTAAATTAATCTACATAATTAGTTACTTCTTACAAAAAAGCTACAATTATAATATTCAGATATTATTATGGTATTATAAGAAGAAAGCTTAAAAATATTGGAGGAAAGAACTTTAATATGTACTGAGGTTTGTGTTTGTGTGCACCAAGTGCTACACCCCATGTACTCTGTATGTTTATGTGATGTATTTGTGTGTTCACAAAAGCAGGTAGTTATTCAAAACTTCACTCTATAAATGAAGACAATGATGCAAAAGTAGGTGACAGGATTTGCTTGAGTTCACATTCCTGGTAAATGGCAGATATAGGTATGTAATACTATATCTTACCTGTTGAAGCTTATTTGACGATTACTATACAGAGAGCCACTCGAACATTATTTTGTAGTAAATAATTCATTCCCATAGATGATGTATAATTCTTGCTCATTTAAATGTATAAGACATGTTCTCACAGGCTGCTAGTTTATTTGTTGCTTCTTAGCATGGTTCTTTAGCATAGGTGTGTTGTTACTTTTGTTCTAACTTATCTCTCTCTCTGAGTTATCTGATACTCCTATGGCTCAGATTACTACCTCGCCCCTCTGACTTTCACTCTTTTGCTCTAAGGAAGTGCAATAAAGAGCACTTGTTGATTTTTTTTTGTATTATAATTCTTAATACAGCTTTCTACCACAATTTAGGCATAATTTGGCGTGAACATACTTTATATGAGGCAAGCACTCTACCAACTGAGCTATATCCCCAGCCCAACATACTTTATATAGAGAGTTATGAAAAATTGTGCTGTGAATGGATAATTACGAATGTAATGCATTCCAATATTGTCATGTATGAGAAATTAAAAAAAAAAGAGTATTTGTTTCTCCAGGAAATGGTTGAAGACTGGCCTGCTACTTTCAGGCACCATGTTAACATATTTTCTATATAATCCCATGTTATATGACCATCACATGGTCACTATTTTGACGTTGATAGTATTCAACACTTCAGGAAAGAAATGATCACTGTCACAGATATCTCTTCCCTTTCTTTCTATGTGCATCTACCTACTACTCACCTCCTTTTGGGTGAAGATAGATAGGAATGTGGAAAGGACTAATGGTCAGAGTAAAAGAGGAAATAAAATAGGAGAGAAGAATTGTGCCATAAGCAAACTCACATATGCCTAAATATTTTTCACATCAATCTCACATATTATTTTATGGTAAAAAGAATCTCACTGGAAAATAAATTCTCAGAGAAAAGTGAAATTACAGCTATAGTCATATTAATATGGAAATCCAATTTCTGAAATATAATTGTATTCAATCATTTTACTTTTCTCAAGAAAGTAAGTATAGGTCCATAATTACTAACATGTAGTTTAAAAAATTTAAAAAAAATTATTTTTAGTTGTGGATGAACACAATAATGTTATTTATTTATTTATTTGGTGCTTAGGGTTGAACCAGTGCTTCACACATGCTAGTTAAGCAATCTACCACTTAGCTACAACCCCAGCCTCCTAACTTATAGTTTTTAAACTTCTGAAAGACTGTGAAAAACTTGGGACCTCTAGTTCACCTGAAAGTCAGTAGCTTTCAAGAGTTACGCCTTACAACTTGAACTTAACTAATGAAACTAAAAAGAACAAAAGGAAATACTAAAAACTGACTGGAGGGGCAAATAAACAATATGCTATTTGACTAAATGAGTCTTGTTTCCTTTAAGAAAGAGCATTATTAGAAAGCTACCAGAACTCAATAAAAATATATTTCACCTGTCACAAGTGGTTGGAAAAACATGTCATTACTGACACTTTAGAACTCTTGGACCTTATACAAATAAGTCCTAGTCTTCTTGTATATGTCCAGTTCTGAGAATCCGATTCACCACTGCATCTTATAAAAATGAACTGCCGATAAGAAAAAGTTCTTTCAAACTTCTGGGCATTTTACTCAAGCACAATCCAAGTATGCTTGCAAACAAAAGCATTTTGAACAAAATTCTTGAGCTATACCTAGCATTATTATTATGCAAACCCTTGCCTTTTCCCATTAAATGTAAGGAACATATCTTAAATTTTGTTTCAATATTCTTATAATAGGGCTAAGTAAGTATATAGTCACTGCTTATTAAACATTTTTGAGAAAGCTAAGTAAAGGGAAATAAGTTTGGCTGTGGTTAAGAGTCAATGACTTCTTTTATTCTTGAGACCTAAAACATGATACAGACATGTCCATGAAGACCCCAAAGCAAATAAAAATTTGAGCAGAAAGTAGAATCAAAGCAAAAATAGGTAAGTAAATTTCTATTTTGCTTCTGCATATGTTATCAAAAAGATGAGCTTTACTCTGGAAAATATGGTGAAACAGGTTTAAACAAATTAGAATACAATAATTCTAATGAGCAAAGAACTTCTCAGAAATCACAGTTAGCCAAATTGAGTACAAATTCTCAGACTAGTAAGTTATGTAAAAAAGGTACTCACGAAGCTTCTAAGCTGCCCTTAAAAAAAAAAAAAAATCTATAGACTAGAACCACAAAGATGCCAAAAACAAACTAAAAACAAAAACAATTAAAAAAGCAAACCACCATACTTTTTAAAAAGGAACAAGGAATATTTTAAAGAGCTTGGCTTTAGTAGTATTCAGAGAAAATATAGAAGAATCTTTTTTATAATCTTTGAGCTGGAAAGACCTGTCCAAATATGGAATAAAATCTGGAAGGTATAAATTATACCAAAAAGGCCCCCAAAATTCACTATGTAAACATTTAAAATTTCTACTCCTTAAGTATCAAAATACAAATGAAGAACAAGAGTTAAAACAGGAATTATATTAGACAAAATGCTAATTTTCTTTACAGGAGTTCTACAAAACAATGAGAAAAAGAACATCTCTTTAAAAGAAATGAGAAAAAAAAAACAACAAAAATTCATTGAAAAGGAAAATCAAATACCTCTTAAATGTACTGAAAAGGTCCATAATATCACTCAATGATAAAAGAAGTACAAACTGGGCTCTGGGGCATATACCTGTAATCCCAGCAGCTTGGGAGACTGAGGCAGAAGGATCATGAGTTCAAAGCCAGCCTCAGCAATTTAGCAAGGCTGTAAACAACTCAGTGAGACACTGTCTCAATAAAATATAAAAATAGCTGGGGATGGGGCTCAGTGGCTAAATGCCCTGGGTTCAGTCCCTAGTATCCTCCTCCCCCTGCAAAAAAGAAGTACAAACTAAAAATATAATAAATATCCTTTTTCTTATCAGATTGGCAAGGATAAAAAAAAATCAACTAACATATCATGTTGGTGAGAATATGAGAGAAAGACATTTCACACATTTTCCCCCTAGTGAAAA